GGAGGAGTCTGGGGATCCTTGAGAGAAAAGAAGAAGAGAGCAATGCAGTTTTTTTGTTTTTTGTTTTTTTTTCTGGTACTAGGGCTTGAACTCAGGGCCTTCACCTTGAACCATTCCGCCAGCCCTTTTTGTAATGGGTATTTTCGAGACAGGGTTTCCCGAGTTATTTGACCGGGCTGTTTTGAACCTTGATCCTCCTGATCTCTGCCTCCTGAGTAGCTAGGTTTATAGGTGTGAGCCACCGGCACCAGGCAGAGAGCCATGCAGTTTTAAACAGCAGTGCTACCAGGTCCTTAGCAGCCTTGTCATTGTTGTCCTCCTCTGCTTCTGCAGTGTGTCTACAAAGGGGTGGTCAGGATTGATCTCCAGGTACCTTTTGACCACTGTAGAACAGTCTGTAAGGGCCTTGGCCTGCACGATCCACTCCATGTCAGCTGTGCTAGTCATGGTTCTCCAGCTTTGATGGGCGTGCCAGCCCTGGGAGCAGCTACACAGAGACCACAGTGATGGCCTGGTAAATGCCTTCCAAATTCACATTCCAAGAGTGTTCTCTCTCTGTTTTCCCCAACTATCCTCTTCCTCTGGTCTTCCTTCCAAGGTGCTGGGCCTACAAGGCAATTTCCCCACTTCCTTTTTAAGACAGATTAAAAAATTTTTTTTTCAGTGCTGGGAATCACACATACTAGGCAAGGGCCTCACACATGCTAGACAAGCATTCTACCACTGAGTTACATCCCCAATCCCAGAATGATTTTAGACTTCTTGAAAAGTTGTTGAGCGTGACGCTCAGCTGTAGAGCTAGTCCATGGTTAGCATGTGAAACCCTGGGTTGGATTCCCAGCAGGCTGAAACAAACCTGGGACAGCGACATTGGGACAGAACTGGGATCTAAACTCCAGGCTTTCTTTAGATTTTCCCCATTTTTTTCTGCAAATGTCACCTGCCCATTTTCCTCTGGTTATTTGGGAGATAGGGTCTCACAAACTATTTGCCTGGATTGACCTCAAACTGCAATCCTCCTGATCTCAGTCTCCCAAGTAAGCTAGAATTATAGGCATGACCACAGCTCAGTCTTTTTTAAAGTCATTTAACACAGACAGCACTAGTTAGCTAGAATTTAATTTTTTTTTTATTGTGGTACTGGGCCTTGAACTCAGAGCCTACACCTTGAGCCACTTCACCAGCTCTTTTTTGAGATGGGTTTTTTTGAGATAGTGTCTCTTGAACTATTTGCCCAGACTGGCTTTGAACCACAATCTTTCTGCTCTCTGCCTCCAGAGTCAGGAGCCACCAGCACCCAGGTAGAATTTAATTTTATTGTTAAGGTTACTTGTTATTTACAGAGCATATTTTCTGTCGTTGCTGTAACAAGTGACCACAGAGTGGTTTAAAGCACTTCAAATATTGTCTCCTTAGGTCAGAAGCCCAGCGTGGGTCACACTAGGTCCTTGATCAAGGTAATCCACACCCATAACATCAAGGCATTGGCAGGAAGCCTCCTTTATACAGTTTTTAGGGGAGAGTGCTTCCTGCCTCTTCTAGCTTCTGGAGGCACCTGCGTTCCTCGGCCCAGGAACCCTTCCTCCATCTCTGTGTGATATTGTGGTATTTATTTTTGGGGTTTTGTTCATGGTTCCTGGCTCTACTTGACTCGAACAATAAGGTTAGAGTATTTGCCCTTGGTTCCCAAAGACGCTTTGGAACAGCTTTAGGGCAATTATGATGGAAAGCAGACTTTTGTTATAATGCTGGGGCACTTTAAGCTTAGAAAGCAAAGTCTCTGTCTCTACCTTTCCAAGGCCTACCTTGGAGAGAAACTAAAATTTCTCTTCCCTAAAGTGGACCATAGAATTTTAAAACATTCCCTAGTCTTCCCCTATCTTTCTGTCTTAGAGATGACCACAATTTTTTTTAATTCTCTGTTACAGATTTTTTTTTTCTTTTCTCTTTTTGGTGCCAGGGCCTTATGCATGCTAGGCAAGCCTCTACCGCTGAACTGAACCCCCAGTCCCCATAGTAACCCCCCCATTTTTATTAGCATATGTTCATTGTACAGGGGGGATTCGTAGCCACAATTCCAAATGGTCTTAACATTGTACAATGATTAGATCACCCCCATCACTTCACCCCTCAACCCCCTCTGCTGCCAGTAGATCTTAAGAGTCGAATGGCAAGCAGATGGGGCCCTGTCCCTACCTGGGAGAAGGAGTGCTGCCCAGACAGGCCTTGCTGGGCCTCCCTCACTCCATCAGATCAAACCCTTGTCATGTGATCATGTTTCTACATGGCTTTCAATGCTGTCACGCTTATTTCCAGAAGTCTCCACAAAAGCCCAAAAGGACAGGATTTGGAGAGCTTTTGGAAAGTTCCTAGAAGGTGGAACTCCTGGGGACACCACAGAAGCTCCTCACCCCTTCCCACGTGCCTAGCCCTGCTCCTCTCTTCACCTGTATCTTTTGTAATAGTCTTTATATTAAACCTGTAAACTTAATTGTTTCCCTGAGTTCTGTGAGCTGCTCTTACAAATTTATTGAACCTAAGGAGTTGTATAAGAACCCCAGTTTATGCTAGTCAGTCAGACCAACAGATAAAACAAACTGGGGCTTTCTGTGGGCATCTGAAAAGGGGTGCAGTCTTGGGAACTGAGTCCCCAACCCATGGGATTTGCTGCTAGCTCTAGGTAAGAGACAACAAAATTGAATTAGGGGTTACCCAGCTTGTATCCACTCCTGAATTGATTGCTTTTTTTTTTTTGCGGTACTAGAATTTGAATTCAGGGCCTACACCTTGGGTCACTCCACTAGCCCTTTTTTGTGATTTTTTTTATATGTGCATACAATGCTTGGGTCATTTCTTTGTGATGGTTTTTTCAAGATAGAGTTTCTTGAACTATTTGTCTGGGCTGGCTTTGAACCACGATCCTCTTGATCTCTGCCTTCTGAGTAGCTAGGATTAAAGGTGGGAGCTACCAGTGCCCCACAATTGATTATTTCTTGGTGTGTAGAGTTTGTCAGAGTGACAGAAGGGACCTGTGTTGTGACAGGGTAGTCTGAGGAACTGAGTTCTTGTGTGCTTGTTGTTGTTTTTGTCTATGATAGTATTTCCAAAGCCAGCAATGGCAGGTTAAGTCTTCACTTCCTGTCTTCTGACTTTCTTCCACCACCACAGCTCTTTCTAATCCATCTAGGAAAGGTTTTCCAAGTTCCAGGGCTCATGTGATTAACTTGAGATACCTGTAGAATCTGGGATTATCTTCTCATCTCAAAGTCCACAGTGTTAATGACACCTGCAAAGTCCCTTTTCCCATGGAAGGTAACCTATTCACATGGATGCTGGAGAGATGGGCGGGGACACCTTTGGGGGAACTTTATTCTACTTACGAAGAATGGTTACTTCTTTATGGAAGTTTACTATTTATAGTTAATGTTGCAACACTAGCTTTCCTTGTAAAGTACACTTACATTTATTTTTTAGTAAAATCATTTGGTTGAGTACTGCATAGAAGCTGGGCCTGCAGGTACATACCTGTGCTCTGCACTCTGCACTCAGCACTCTGGAGGCCGAGGCAGGAGGATCTTGAGTTCAGGGCCAGCCTGGGTTACATAACAAGCACCTGTCTCAAAAAACAAAACAAAACAAAATAAGGAAAAGCCAAGCGTAGTGGCTAATACTTGTAACCACAGTGAGGCAGGCTGGAAGTAGGAAAAGTTTGGAGCTCATGCAGGTTGCCGGGGGATGGGCCAGACCCCTCTACACCTGGCTGGGAATCACCCATGCCCCTCCCCACTCGCTCACTGTTGGGTGGGAACCTCCTGGGCCTGCCCTACCACAGGGTAGGTTTTAAAGGCACCCGGGAAAAAAAAAAAAAAAGCACACTCTGTCAGCTGGCAGACTCCACCTGCACCCACCATACCCTCTGCTTCTTCTTCCCTTTGCTCACGTGGGAGAACAAGTTTCTCCCCTTCTCTCAATAAAGCTACCCTACCTCACCCCACCCACGTGCTCTGCTTGGATTCTTCCATCTGGAGCACAAAAACCAGGATCTTCTGGTCACAGACTGCACACAGCTACTCTGGAGGAGGAAGCAGGAGGTTTTCAAGTTTAAGATTATCTGGGGCAAAGGTAGCAGTGAGAGATTCTGTTTAAAAAACAAAATAAGAGGCTGGTGGAGTGACTTAAGTCATAAAAACACCTACCTAGCAAGTGTGAGGCCCTGAGTTCAAACTCCAGTGCCACCAAAGCAAACAAACAAACAAAAAAACAAGAGCTGGCCAAGTGGCTCAAGTGGTAGAGCACTTGCCTAGCAAGTGAAGGATCCTGGGTCAATCCCCAGAACTGTAAGAAAAAGAAAAGAAAAGAGAAAGTATCACATGTAGTTCTTAAGACAGGAGCCAGGCACTGGTGGCTCATGCCTGTAATCCTAGCTATGCAGGAGGCAAAGATCAGGAGGATGGAAGTTCAAAGCCAGCCCAGGCAAATAGTTCTTGTGACCATATCTCGAAAAAAATCCATCAGGGCAAAAAAAAAAAAAAAAACGCTGATGGAGCGGCTCAAGGTATAGGCCCTGAGTGAGTTCAAGCCCCAGTACCGCAAAAAAAAAAAAAAAAAAAAAAAAATCCAGTTCTTAGGAAACAAAGAACAGCTAGATAATGACTGAAGTTTAGAAACTGAGGCCTGGCAGAGGAGATTCCAGAGACCTATCTCAAGTCAGGAAGCAGCTGGAGTTGGAAGAGATAGTGTCTGTTTGGTAGGAAGTCTGTCTACCTGGACCCAATAATAATTTTGTTGACATAACCCAGTGGATCAAAGCAAGTCCCCTGACTGCTCTGGGCCAGTTCCTGTGGCTTGTGGTAGAACTCGCTCAGCGGTCTAGATCCTTCCACCACTTGGTGGTCTAGATCCGGATCCAGGAGCATAAAAGGCTTGGCCCCAGGGTGGGGTAGGCACATCCTGGAAGGGGTGTCTGAGGAGCAGTTCCAGGCAGGCACTGTGACAGCAGCATGGCCCCCTCAGAACACCCCAGGGAGTGGAGAGCCAGCCTGGAGACCAGCTCTGGTAAGAGGTGGCACAGGGCACCTCGGTCTAAGGAAAAAGACTAATTGAGGGAAGGTGGGCAGGCAGGGGTCTAATGGCAGACACCCTGTGTGTGCCTCATGACTGCCAGGATTCTCAAGCCACAGGTGAGCTTTGATAATTTCCTGCCTACCAGAATATAGGCTTTCTTCTGAACCCCTGTGGTGTTAAGAGCAAGGAGTTAGGAGGACAAGTTTATTACTTGAGCAGCCTGAGAAGTTACTTTTTAAAGAATACAGGCTTTGGATTCAGACAGACTTGCTCTGACTCTTGCTTCATTGATAAAACCCACTGATTGGTTCATCCACTCTTCTAGCATGTACTGGGCTCTGAGCTATGGGGGACAACATGGTACAGCAGTTAGAGCAGGAATCTCCAGAGCATGGATGGGATTCTCCAAGGCTGTGAACAAGATTCTGTGAGGTGGGGGAGTACACAGTGGTGCTTCCTAGAGACCACCAACAGTTGTGTAGACTGACCTCAGTTTCTTCATCTGTAAAAGAGGGCACCACTGATGCAAGGATGACACGCGCAGGAATTTCAGATGCTCAGGGTTCTTGAGCCTGCTCTGAGAATGAAAGCACAGACAGACTCTAACAGCAGAGGTCGGAAAGATTTTATTTATAGAGAATTTAGTTGGAGAAAAGAGAAGAGAAAGACTGCATATTGGAGAATGCAGGGGGACCCGGAAACGGGGGGGGGGGGGGGGGCGGGGAAGGTGATCCCGTGGGTCAGGGTGGGGAGTGGGTTTTGTAGCCTAGTTTGTATTGCCTGAGGGTGGAGATGCCTTTCAAATGCAAACAGGCATTTCCTAGGGAGGAGAAGTGTCTCCTTGACCACTTATCGCCCTTTTGGGACTTCCCACAGTCTGTCCTTCAGTCCTTCATCACCTTCCTCTTGGTCCAGGACCTTGCTACCCACAGTGTGGTCCATGGCCCAGCAGAATCATCATCCCCTGGGAGCCTGTCAGAAAGATAGAACCTCTGGCCCCACCCCAGATCTGCATTTTAAGGAAATTACTAGGAGTTTCAAGTCCTGCAGTAAAGTTGAGAAGTACCCATGGGCGAAACTTGGTGGTTCTGGAAGGGAGTGGCTGATAAGAGAAGAAGTCAGCATCTAAACTCAGGTCGCTCCCATGCTGAAATCATGCCCTATCTCTGATTATCAGTTAAATCCTATAAAATAGATGAGCATGATGGATGAATGAGACCACAGCCCTTGTGACGTCAACATGAACCTCTGTTTTTTTCCTTCCTTTTAGGTGGGAAGCTGGCCCCTCCTCAGAAGGCCATCCCCGCAGCTCATGTAACTTTCATTATTGACTGCGCCACTGGGAAATGGCTCTCCTTGACAGCACCCCCAGTGCCGCCCCAGGCACTCAGTCCCAACTGGGGACCTGTTGCTCCAACAATGAAGACATATACTGTTTTCTGTGGGGAAAACCAGCCCCATTCGACTCAGGTTACTCCCTTGGATGGGGGATGTCTTGCCCAGACTGAGGATACCTTGCCATCCTACAGAGGGGTTGTGGCCCCAGTTTCCCTCCCAGTCAGTCCACCCTGCCCCCAGGATGTTCCTAAAGCCAATGGGAGCCCTTTGAAGGCTAGGTCTGCCAGGCCTTCAACTTGGGGGGCAGTCAAGGGCTCACTCAAGGTCATTTCTTCCTGTGTGTGTGGGCAGGCTGATTAGTTGCAAGGGCTGGACATGGGAGGGAGGGGAGGATACACCAGGCTCCAATGTCCAGGGGCAGCCATTCCCAGAGCAGCCTTGCTTCCCACCAAGCAGGACTGTCCAGAGTCTGAGCCAAGGAAAGCACTGGATCCACCTAAGGTGGGCGATCTCTGTCCTCCGCCCTCCCTGCCTCTGCCAGGCTCACAGCAGAGGCAGGGTAAGGTATCCCCCACACGGGAAGACTACTCCATTCACAGGCAGATACTAACGGAGCATCTTCTATATGCTGAGCCCTGCACAGTGCCAGCAATGCCATCATGGTTTTCTCTAGGCTTATATTCTTGGGGGAGGAGAGGTGGTTCAACAAGTGACCAAATAAGCAAAGAGGAGGATTTTGAGCAGTGATGCATGCTGTTTGGGAACTCAAACACAGCCCTGGGCTGCAGCAGGAGTGAGAAGTGCTTTCTTCATTTGGTGGTTGGGAAAAGGCCTCAGGGCAGGTAACTCCAGAAAGATCTGAAAGACAAGAGGAGCCAGTCTGTGAAAATCCACTCTCCCCAGGGCTACCTGCTGGCATCCTCATCCCAGGGCAGACCAGAGCTGGGCTCAGGATACCCTGGCATGATGGGGGCAAAGGGAGGTGGCATGTTGATGGCTGTCATTTTGTCTCAGATGCAGGTATGGAGGTGGCTGGGAGGGCATGGGGCACTGAATGGGAGACTGGCGGGTATGGCAAGGGGTGGGAGGCTCAGGAGACTATCCCAGAAGGTAGCCTGGGGAACTAGACCATCTGAGGTGGGAAATGAGGGGAACTGGTTTCTCAAAAAGGAGGGAGAGGGGCTGGCAGAGTGGCTCAAGTGACAGAATGCCTGCCTAGCAATTGTGAGGCCCCAAGTTCAAATCCCAATACTGCCAAAACAAAAAAGGAGGGAGGGTAAGAGTTCAGTGGTAGAATGCTTGCCTGGTGTGCCTAAGGCCTTGAATCGGGACCCTGGTACTGCAAGAAAACAAAAATATTTCTTCCCTGATGTATGGCTGACACTTTGAGTGATTTTTGTTTTCCAGATTTAAGAATGTTTATTTTGGGGAGGGGCTATCTGATTCTCACAACGGTTAGGTAAGGTAGACTTGGCGTGAGCAGAATGAAAAGACCTGGATGAAAAGGTGGTAATGTCACCACGGCTTGCCTGGGATGTCTAATCTTTGGATATGACCAGGACTACTTGGAAACACTGAAGACTGACTTTCTGAAGCCAGTCGTAGCCTTTGGAGATACTGGCATTCGGTGGAATCAGTTATCCAGAAGCAGCCTCATCTATCCAGAAACTGGGAGCCAGAAATTCCCTTCACCCCAGAAGGTTTAGATTCGGCATATGAAGAAAATGTGATGTTTGTCTTTCTGAGCTTGGCTTGTCTCGCTCACCACGATGATCTCCAGTTCCCTCCATAGTCCTGCAAACTACATAATTCCACTTAGATGGCAGAAGACCTTTAAGGGTTGGTGGCCCGGGGGAGAGGAGGTGAATATTCCAAGCAATCCATCTCCACCTCTTCAGATGCTCAGGCAGCCCTGGGTGTACAGAAGAAAAGAGGAGCTTGGTCCCTGCCCCACAGAATAGTCAGAGTCCCAAGCAGGGTATGGTGTGGGTGAGTGTGAGTCTAAGAGATGCAAAGCAGAGGGTGAAACTCGAGTGTGTCTCAAAGTTCCAAATAAAAATTGCTGAACACTTATTTGTTTAGTTAATGACCATTTTACTAGGCTCTACAAACATCAGTGATGATCACATTCTGTTTACTCTGTGCCAAGGAAACAAGAGCCTCGTGGGACTGGGTTGTTTTTGTTTTTGTAGTGCTGGAGATCAAACTCAGGGCCTTTCCTATGCTAGGCAAGTGTTCTGGGAAGCACTATTTTTGTAGCCACTTCACAGGCAACAGGGACATACAGAGGTTAAGGAGTGCACTCAAGGTCCCAGAGTCTGGCACAGTTGAGATTAGAACCTGGCACACCTGATGCCCGAATTCTTGCCCCTCACTGTGAGGCACACAGCCTCTTATCCTGGCATGGCCTCTTCTAAGCAGATGGGATCCCAAGAGACTAGACATAACCCTGTCCTCCATTTGCTCACAGCAGGGTGGGTGAAGCAAGAAGGGGAACAGACCATTGCCAGAGCTTCAGATAGGTGCAAGGGCAAGGATAATACGGAACTGTGGGTGCCTGGCCCTCTTCAGGGAGAGCAGATCAGGTGGGCTTCCTGAAGGAAGTGACACCTAAAGTGAATCTGATCCATGAGTGAGCTACTCGAAGAGAGGGGTGGGGAGGAGTATGTCTGCAAAAAGACGAAGGGTCATTCAGTCTGGTTGGCGTATTCATTCACCAAGTATTTGTTGGGCACCTACTGTACGCCAGGCTCTTGGCTAGACCCTGGGATGTATCCATGAATAAGATAGGTAAGGCTCAGTCACTAAGGAGCTTCCTTCTAGTTAGAAGAGACAGGCAATGAATGCACAAACACAAAACAAAGACACCAGAGGAGTGAAGGGGCCACATCACGAAACGCCGTCAGGCCACAAGGCCTTAGATGTTGTTCTAAAATGAGATCAATGGAAACTGAGCAGAAAGCACCACCACCAGACCCACCTTTGAAAGAATCCCTCTAACCAAGCTGTGGTGGCACACACCTGTAATTCCAGCACAGGGGAGGCTGAGGCAGGAGGAAGGAGAGTATGAGGCCAGCCTGGGCTACACAGAGAGACCCTGTCTCAAACAAAAACAAAGCAAAGCAAAACAAAAAAAGAGTCCCGCTGGCTCTTCTGCCTACAGAACAGGGAGCAGAGGAGGAAGCCTAGGAGGCTGGGCCTTCATCCAGGCAAAGGGGAGCAGTGGTTTAGACTAGGCAGAGTGGCAGTGTAATATGGGTGACATATGCCCATCTGGAAAGGTGGTAAAGCTCCCTGCTGTCTCCCACTGCTGAGAACCACTGCCAGAGACCAAGGGGGAAAAGGAGGCCTGTGGTTGCACATCTAGCGTCTTACCAACAGGTGTCGCCATATCATCAGCCTAGAGGGCACTGGGTCCAGGCCTGGGCAGAAAGAAAGGAAATTGTGGACAGGGGCTGGCCAGAGCCATAGATGCCCCGTGTTTTCAAGAAGTCAGGCTTCGGGGAATTGTGGAGGGGAGGTTGCCCAATGTATACATATGTGAGTAAATGTAAAAACCATAAAAAGAAAAAGAATTAGAGTCTTTGCTACCATTTCCTGCATGGGGAACAGGAAATGTTTCTCTCCCTTTTCTCCTCACTGTTCCTCTCCTAATAAACTTTACTGTTACTTTTACTAAAAAAAAAGAATTTAAAAAACACCTCTTATTATGATGGAGGGGATAAATCTAATCAAGGTGCATTGTAAGCACATATGTAAAAGTCACAGTGAACACCCCCTGTGCAACTAATGTATGCTAATGAAAACATAAAAAAGAAAAAAAGAGGTCAGGCTTCATTCTAACCAATGCCTCTTTCATCTAACACCCCTTTCGTGCCGAATAATGGCATCACTACTGCCAAGCGTAGTGATGGTTCAGAATTTAGTGGTGGAGGTCTTGGTGGAGATTCACAGATGCCAGGCACTCATGTGCTCAGTGACGGGAACTGTCACGATTCCTATCGATCAGACATTTTACATGGACCACACATCACATCAGTTTATTTCACTCCCGTCTCATGAAGGGGTTATGAATTTCATTGTCATTTTAAAGAGAGGGAACTGAGGCAGAGAGACTCAACACTTTGCTCATGGTCACTAACTGGAAAGAAATAGAATCCAAGCCAGGTGTGGTAGACCAGAACAGGGGAACTCCCCTGCCTGACATATGGGGAGAGTTCAAGGCCAGCTTGGGCTGCATAGTGAGACTCAGTCAAAAAAAAAAGAAAGAGCTAGAGACTGTGTATAAGGAAGGAGGAAGGAAGAAAGAAAAAAGAGAAGAGGCAGCTGGCACCAGTGGGTCATGCTTGTAATTCTGCCTACTCAGAAGGAGATCAGGAGGATTGTTGTTCAAAGCCAGCCTAGGCAAATAGTGCTCAAGACCCTATCTCAAAAATACCCAACACAAAACAGGGCTGGCAGGGTGCCACAAGTGGTAGAGAGCCTGCCTAGTAAGCATGAGGCCCTGAGTTCAAACCCTAGTGTCACACACACCAAAAAATAATAATAGTAAAAATAAATAAAAGAAAATAAAGAGGCAGAGGCTCAACACGAGCCCTGTGCAGTGTGGCCGCACGCCCACGAACGCCCTGTACCATGCCGTAGGTGCTCTGTGCACATTTGTTCAGTGAGCAAATGAAGGAGAATGGATGATTCCAAGGACCCAGCCCAGGCCTGGCTGTGGGGGGAGGAGAGGGAAATAGTGACTGAACAGGTAGGTGGAGCTTGCTGGGGTGGGGCACAGCCCAGGACCCAGCCCAGCTGTCATTAAAGGTTCAAGTGAGGACCTGGGGAGATGTCAGGGAGATGCAGCCAAGACAGGAGATAGCCGGTTCCCTGCTGGAGCTCTGGTGTGACCAGAGAGCTCAGAAGCTAGTAACTGAGGCCACTTGGAGAAGGCAGGGAGTAAGGCCAGACCTGAGGGCTCAAGATTAAGGAGGCTTTAGAAAAATTGAATAAGCAAAAGTGTCTCCAATCAGACACTCTGGGGGCTGTGCCGCTGGCATGGCCTGTGACTATCTTATACCTCTGTGCATTGCAAGTAACTGACAAGAATGCAAATAAATCTTGTTAGACTAGAAGATTCTGTCCTGTCTTGTAGACAGGCAGCAGATGCCCTGCCACTGCAGAAGAAGCCAGTTTTGCCTCCATCTTACCTGTTTCTTCATTAACTGAGTTAAGTAATTTTTTTTTCAGTGCTGAGAGCCTCATGCATGCCAGGCAACTGCTTTATCACTGAGCTACATCCCAGCTCAAGATAAGTATAATCTTTAGTGGGAATGTAAAATGATACAGCCTCTTGGGAAAACAGTCTGGCATTTTCTCAAACACACATAGGAGCCAGCAATTCCACTCCGAGGCATATACCCAAGAGCGTGAAAACATATGTCCATGTGAAAACTCATATGTGAATATACACAGCAACACTGCTCACAGTACTCAGACATCCACCAGCTGAAGAATGGATCAACAAAGTGTGGTATGTCCATACAGTGGGAGGTGACTCAGCTTTTAAAAGAGATGAAGTGCCAGGCATGGCATTACATGTCTGTAATCCCAGCTACTCTGGAGGCAGAGGTAGGAGGATCAGAAGTTTGGGGCCAACCTGGGCAAAGGTAGCAACAAATCCCTGTCTTAAAAACAACAGCTGAAGGAGGACTCAAGTGCCTGCCTAGCAAGTGTGAGGCCCTGAGTTCAAGCCCCAGTGCTGCCAAAAAAACAAGCAAACAAACAAAAATCCAAAAGTATTTGACTGGAGGCATGGCTCAAGAGCTTCTTTGCAAGAAGAAGCTCTGAGTTCAAACCCCAGTCCCACCAAAAAACAAACAAACAAGAAAACTAAATAAAAATGACAATAGTAGCACCAGGCAGGTATAGTGGCTCACACCTGTAATCCCAGTTGCTTGGGAGGTTAAGATTGGGAGGATAGTGGTTTAAGTCCAGCCCAGGAAAAAAGTTATTGAGGCCCAGCTCAATCAATCAAAACTATAAAAACTGAGTGCCGTGGCACACATCTGTTATCCTGGCACAAATGGGAGGTGTGGGATTCAGGTCAGCCCAGGCAAAAATGTGAGGCCCTATTCAGACAAATACCTGAAGCAAAAAGGGGTGGGGGTGTGGCTCAAATAGTAGAGTACCAACCTGGCAAGCACAAGGTCCTGAGTTCAAACACCAGTACCCTAATCTGGTAACAGTCTGACCTCAGAGTTTTCTACCTAGCAACCAACCACACTTGTAGGGACATACTGCTTGAGGAAGTGACTCTATCAATCACAGAAACACTTCATTGAGCCAGGGACAGAAAATGTGACAAGTGAGTACATACTTCTAGGTTGGCAGCCATGCTTAATTCAGAACTATAATTTTAGTTCTCTATAGCCTCTGCGCATAGGACTGAGCAAGAACTGAGGTGGGGGCTGGGGATGTAGCTCAGTGGTGGACAGTGTGCTTGGTGGACACACTGGGTTCCAATGTCCAGCACTGCAAACAAACAGGCAAAAAAAGAAAAGAAAAGAAAAGAAAAAAATGTGCCAGAAGGAAGGGAGGGAGGGAGGAAGGGAGGGACAAGCCAATGTATGGTCTTGCCCACTCCTCTCTGGCTTCCTGGGGCCAGCAGCTGTGCTCAGTGCCCTTCAGGGAGGCCCCCTTCTCCCACAGAAGGTCCTCCCTGGATCTGGCCTTGGAGGGCCTCAGAGCTTGGAACTGGCCTCTACCAGCTGCTCCCAAGGAGTTCCAGACCGGCTTGGCTAGGCTTGGGGTACTGACTGTAAACACCACACTCCCAGGCCCACAGACTGCTGCCTTGGGCATCAGTCTGGCAGACTCAACTCATAGTGTCCAGAACCCTCTCTTCTGGGGACAAAGCCTGGGTAAGTAGGACCTGATCTCCTTCCTGCCCAGAAAAGTACCCCAGCAATTCTCACCCGGGCTTAGCATTTACTGAGCTCATACTAAAGCACCAGCTTGGTGCATATACCAGTCTGGTAGGGTGGGGCCTCACCTGTGTTTAGCCAAGATGAAACTATAGCTTCTGGAGCCTTCTTGCCTCTGTAAGAGGCACTCAAGTTGGGTCTAAAAACTCCTGTTTCACCTCCACCCCCAGGACCCAGGCTGGCTAGATTTTCGGAGCGAGGCAGGGAACCTTTCAGCTCCACCAACTGCTTCTCTGTGAAGAGAAGATCACCCCAAATTCAGGCCAAGATGGGGCCCAGGGCAGTGTGGGTGGTAAGGCTGGGGAGGTCCTGATCCAAATCTAAATGAAATCACAGTAGCTGAGCCTCCTGGGTGTTGTCAGCATATGGCACACGGTTGCCAGTCAGCTACAATGTGCCTGGCACTGCACAGGCATCAGATCCCCAGGCTGCACAAGCATCCCCAGCAGGTAGATCCTATCAGCAACACTGTACAGATGGCCAACTGCGGCACAGAGAGGTTACTTTACTTACTCAAAAATAAAGCTCAGAATCAGCCAAGTCAAGCTTTCATCTCAAGTGGTCTGGCTTCAGAGTGTGATTTTTTTTTTTTTAGCATTACTGGGGTTCGAACTCAGGGCCTTGGGCTTGCTAGGAAAGCACTCTACCACTAGAATCACTCCACCTGCCCTTTTTACTTTGGTTTGAGTCACACCTCCAGTCCATTTTGCTCTGGTTATTTTGGTGATGGGGGGGGGTGTCTTGAACCTCTATCCTCCCAATCTCAGCCTCCCAGTAGCTAGGATTACAGGTGTGAGCCAGCGGTGCTTTACTGAAACCAGTTAGTTACTTTCATAGTGCTATAAACATTTATTTAGTTCCTTTTCCATGCCAGGCCTGGAAGCAAGAGAGACAGAATAAGACATCAGCCAGCATTATGCAGAACTGAAATTCATGTCAGACTGGGGAGCAGATGGAGGAGGTGGGGGCCATAGAGGATAAGGGGTTTGGTCTGGGGGAGAAGTCCTGGGCTAAAAGCAGGAAGGTTACATCTTCATTTCAACTCTGCCACTAACTTGGTGGGTTTTTTTTTTTTTTTTCCTTTTGGAATATGGTTTTTGACTTTATTTTTGACAATGTTCAGGTGGTTTTACGACAAACTTACAGAAGCACATTAAAAGTCACATAAATATCACCAAGGAGCCTGGCACTCTCTGCTAGCTGTGCCACTAGCTTGTTGTGTGACCTTGTGCAGGCCCTATCCTTCTCTGGGTCTGGGCCTTCCTTGGATTGACTTCCTGAGAGGTGGGGCTGTCCAACCAAGAGGATGGGCCTTAGGTTCTGCCCCACCCCTGGGCATGTGCCAGGTTGGTCTGGAACACACTATCCTTCTGACTGCTGGGATTATAGAAAAGCACTGCCATAGTCCCCTAGGCTAGGCCTTTAGAATGAGGGCATCTCCTGGTCCTTTCTTCCTCACCTGGCCTGCGTTGGCATTTCCCACAGGTCTCTGACCCCAGAGACCTGGGTCAATTTCCCTCACCTAGTGTCCAGACCGGCCCCCAGTTATAAGACATGGGAGTGAGTTCCCTTTCCTTGTGGGAGCTAAGGGAGGAGGGTGCTCCCTGGTGTGTTTGGAGGGGGCAGATCTGTGCTGACACAGTAGAGGGCTTTCCAGAGCGACAGACTAAAGCAGACAAGGATTCAAAGCCCAGTCATGGCACTTCCAAGCTGGGTGACGTGGACCAGTTGCTTGACCTCTCTGAACCTCCATATCCCTCTCTGTATAACAACAACAGTAACTACCCCGCGCGATTACTGGGGTGAGCAGTGTGCCTGACGCACCCTGGGGGGGTTCAATGAATGGGGCAGCTATAATTACTCCTCACGGTGGGGGCGGGGCGCAGGGCCTGCAGCCAGGCCTATATTTAGTTTGGAAAGCGGTGTTTGTGTGGGGGGGTGGGGGGGAGGAAGGTGTCCAGAGACAAAGCGCCCAGCCAGTCCCCGCGCTCAGAGGACAGAGATGAAAAAGACTGTGGACTGCGCCCACATCCCCGCCCTCCCTGTCCGCGAGGTCACCTTGGCCCGAGTGGCTAAGGGCTCGCTTAGACCGGTTTAGCCGGGTTCCTAGCGGCTGGTTTACTGCGCTGCCCTTGTCCCCACCCCTACCCCCTTCCCCCTTCCCCTTCCCTTTCCCCCTTCCCCTTCCCCTTCCCTTTCCCCCTTCCCTTCCCCCAGTGTGCGACCTGGGGAGGCGGCAGCTGGGGGCGGGGGGGGGGGCGGAGGAGGCTCCGCCCACCGGCCACCAGGGAACCGCCCCCTTCCTAGCCTGCGCCCGGCTCCCTGGCTGCGGTGGGAGGGGCTTCGCGGGGGTCTCGCGGCCAAGGTGAACCCGACCTCCATTGGGGGCAAAGTGGGGAGAGCTACTCTGGCTCCCCCCACACCCAAGCTCTGCGCTGATGAGTGTCGGGGCTGCAAATAGCCCAGTGGAATCAGTGAGTCACCAAGGCTGGAAATTCTGCACCTCTCTCCTCCCCTCCACTTCTCTGACCGCAGAGTGGTGCTCCGATTTCAGCAGCGCCTGGGGGGGTGTGGGGTCACTCCAAAGAGCACCCCCCCCAGGCTTCCTGAGCCAGCCAGCACCCCACCCTACCCCGGTCCTATCCCCTAGTCTAACTGGCTGTCTCAGGGACTGAACGACTTTGGGCCAGTGAGTCAGCCTCTCTGGGCCTCAGAGCCCCCGGGGGGCTAGAAAAAGGACTTCAAAAAGAAGCCTGTGTCCATCCCCCTGTGACAGTGCTGGGCACAGTGCTAGGTACATAGTCAAAGCACACCAAATACTCTGGAAGGAGAAGGATCCAAAGGGAAGGGCAGCAGTCAGGGTCAGGGTCAGGGTCAGGATGCTGTATAAGACCGTTCTCTAGGATAATCCTGGGACTCCTGCAGATGGGGTTTGGGAGCCAAGGAGGCCAAGGAACACCCACATTTCCTGAGATCTTAAACGTTTCTGTTTACATTGGGGTTTCCCAGCCCAGCTTCCCCACCCCATCCCAGGTTTGAGAGCTGCAAGGCCCACAAATCTGTGATATGACGGTCCTTTATTGTGTGTACATCTTATAGCTCCCGGACTCTCCCAAGGCCCCCTCCCCGGCCTCCCCCTGGACCCCAGAATGGCAGAGTTAGGCCACCCTACAGCACGCTGACCCCAGAGGCTGGCCCCGCCACTTCTCTGGGGACCATGACTAACTGTGAGTCACCCCTCCCTTTCTCCCTGCTTCTGTATGAAGGAGATTGAGCCAGAGTTATTCCGGGCAGCTAGGGCTCCCCAAGGTTAAAGCTGATCAGGATCCTTTCCTGGATTGAAGACCAGTAGGGGATGGGTTTGGGCTCTTCCTATGGTTCCCCCTCCCCAGCAGGACCACATAGGCGGGTTCATGGCTCCAGGGAGGCCCAGTGAATGGACAGAGGTGGGGGGACTGGCAGCAGCTGGGACACCCTGGGTTCAGATCCAATCTTCAGTGGCAAGCCCAGAACCCAAGAGCTCAGTGTTCCCATTCAGAAGGAGACACTAAATCTGATTTTAGAATGTTCTAAATTTGGCTTCAACCAATGGTAATGGTGAGTATTTGAAGAAGAATGATGGGTGTGTGTGTGTACATATGTGTGTGTAACACACAGCCTGTGGATTCATAGATAAGAAGGGGGAAGGACGGGGTGGAGACTGCCCAGAAGGGAAGGTTGCAAGAAGCTGGAATCCACCCTTGAGGTCCCAAAGCCCTGCTTTTGCTCCACTCTGTGGGGGATCCTGTCTGCAGGGGGAGCAGCCTCAGGGGCCTGGGTCTCTGGTGGGAGGGAGAAAGAGCCATCCTCCATACCCCAGCCTCTCCTGGAGGCACCTGGAGGTAGAGAACAACAGGAATTTCACATCGTTTATCATGAACCAACTGTAGGCTGCATTCATAAAACCTGTCTGTGTACAGATGTCATGTACCCTGCCCTGGCACAGCTGGCTGACTAAAGCACAGAGCAATAGGTAGCCTGGCAGCTGGTTTGAGGCTTAGACAGTAGCAGAAGGACATTGTTGTCATGGCTGACTCCTTCTAGCCTCTTTGGGCCTTCTGGCAATTCCACCTAGATAGGCATCACTGTCTATGACTGTCCCTTTGCCTCTCCCACTCAACTTAGCCAGGAGCATCCCCGGGCCCCAGTGTCCCTGCTCTGCAGAGACGCCACAGATGGAAGGACTTGTCTGTCTCTGTCCTGCAGATTGTTTGCCCAGAGACCCTGCCTGTCCCCATTCTCTTCCCCAAAGTGGGTTCTTTGGGACCTCCCTATCCCCACCCAAACCCCTCTATTCTGAATTGAAGGAGGTCATATCTGAAATCCAGGGGCCATGGGGGAAGCAAGGGGGTCCCTGGCCTGCCTTGGGCAAAGTAGAGGGCCCTAGTTTAGGGGATGACCCACCTGGGGCACAGGGGTCTTTGGGGCTGGAGCCTGAGCTGAGATGTTCTGGGGGCTATTGTCCAGGGTTCAAGGGAGACTTCCCTGGCAGGCCAGTTAGCAAGGAGGCAGATGGGGGGAGGGCAGGGGCAGGGGAAACCCTCAGATTTTTATCTCTGTCCGGAAGGTCTGCTGGACATGCTCTGTGTGCGGATGACGCCGTGCCCGGATGGTGAGGCTGCCGTCCTCCCTCAGGGCCGAGGTCACTGATGTTGGGTCTACATCCTCTGGCAGCTGGCACTTGTGAGCGAAGGTGTTCATGACCGTGCCGTCAGCTGCCAGCTGGGGAAGGAGTGACAGGTCAGGGAAGGCTGCCCAGCTCTGCCCCTTCCTCACCATCCCGACTCCAGCACGCTTTACATGTTGAGGGCTTCTGCTGGCAGGCTTGAGAGGGCTGGCCAAGGGCCAAGGGCTGTTCAGGGGTGGGCACAGAGGAGCTTGGAGGAGCTCCAGGAGTCCCCGGGGAGCTGGCTCCATGTGAGAGAGAGCTCAGCTGGGTGGGGACAGAGGTCCTGTGGCAGTGGCTCAGATCTGGGGCTCCTGAGCAGTGTGGGTAGATGACATGGGCTGTGCCCTCATGGATGCCCAGACACTCTGTGCGTACGCTGCCAGGGCTGCTGCTCTCCCTCACAGCTCAGCCAGCACATAGTGTCCAGTGGAGTCACTATGGCTGAGTCACTGTCGGGGTGACAGGGCTGGCACGTGCCACCATAAACCTGTAGTCCTGGCACCCCTGGGAAGACTTCCCAGGAGATCAGACCATGCTCAAGGGAGGAAGTTGGGCCCTGGGGATCAGGGAGGCCTTGGCAGATCTCTAAGACACAGGTGGCCCTCGCAGCCTGGAGTAGCTTTTCTATTAGGCCTGGCCACACCTTCCTCTGGGACACAGGCCTCAGTGCCTCCTGGGGGCTCAGACTCAGAGCTCCTGATAACTTGGTGACCCATGAGTGGAGAAGTATGCAGTTCAGAGTGTGTGTGACTCTGAACTGCAGGACCTCTGTCTAATCTGGAGGCCCGATACAGGGCCCCAGGATGGGGTCTGGGCTTCTGGCACTGGAATGGAAGAGGGCTAGAGATGCAGCAGGAAAGTATATCTCTGCCTGCTGCCTAGATAAGCTCCCCTCCCCACCTCCCAATACCTCCTGCCAGAGGAGCTGTCCTCATTCCACCATGGCCATCTCCCTCCTCTCCTCTCCTGTCCTTATGCCTCACCCCTCAGTTCCCTTATACCCACATCCCTTCAGCCCTCTTCCATCCCAGAGGCCCCCCAGCTGCAGTGGGCCCCTAAAGAATCTGGAAACCTTGAGTGGAGAGGAGCCTGAGGGTAGGAGTCCCTGACCCTTTAGCAACAGGGGACAAGACTTCCAGTTTGACCTGGGAGAGTTTGGGTGGGGAAGGAACACTGTTAGGGCAGGAGGTAGGATCAGGGGACACTGAGAGCAGGGGCTGGAGTCAGGGTCCAAGGGGTGGGGTGGGGGCCAGGCTCACCTTCTCAGCCCGCACCTCAATGTGGTTGTTGGAGGTGGTGACAATGATGTCTTCTGGGGAGAAATCTCTCACGTCCACTGCAAACTCATAGGCATCTCCGAGGGTCTTGATGTTGCCTGGCCCCCCCTGACGGGCTGTTCGGGAGGGCTATCATGAGCCAGGCACTGGGCCTGCATCAAGAACCCAGGTCTCTGTCCCCTTGGGAAATGGGTGGCTCCCTCAGGCTACCTCTCCTTAGCAGCTGCTCCTGAGCCCTTCCTCACTCTCGTAGTCTACTTGTTGCCTGGTGGCATGGGCTTCCCACAAAACAGATTTTTTCATGTTTGTGTATGTGACACTCAGTTTGCAGCAACCCCACCCCAGCCAGACCTCCAGGGATCCGGCTAGGACCTGGTCACAGTTACAGGCCATGTAGGGTTTCTGGAGCATATATCATCCCTGGGCCATCACTGTTCATTGGAGAACTTATTTCATGACCACCTCTGCCTTGTGGTCCCCTCTGTCTGGACAGCCACATGTGACTGTGGGCTATGCAGCACTTATTCCTGTCAGGTCAGCCACAAAAGCATGTTAGTTGGTGCCCTGAGTGGATGTCCCTACCTGTCCCTGCCCCCTCCCCTCAAAGCCCCAACACTTGCCTGGGAAGGCCAGGGGCTCCGAGTGGGGCCGCCTGAAGCTGCCGAAGTCCTCGGAGAACATACTCAAGGCCTTCTCCATGGGTGGGTCCTGGGCTGGGAGGGCACGGGAGGCCGAAGAGGAAGAGGAAGAAGAGGAGGAGGAGGAAGAGGAAGAATGAAAGCTTCTCTCCGCTCGGAAGGAAGAGGAGGTGCGGTGGCTCATCCACAGGCAGCGTGGGCCCTGGCCAGGCGGGCAGGGGTTGGACAGGAGAAGCGTGTGGGTGCAGGCCTCCAGGGGAGCATGCTGGGGCCCTGACTGCCAGCGCTTTATAAGGCCCGACCTTCCCTGGGCTCGGGGCCAGCCCCTTGTCTACTAGCTAAATTTAGGCCTCTTCATGGCCCGGAGGGGGCTGGAAATCTTCTGGGAGAAGCAGGGCTGCTGACAGTCAGACGCATGCAGACCGGGTTGGAGGGCTGAGCTCACCTCCTGGCATTCCAGGCTGATTGCTCCAGTCCCAAAAGCCTCTGCACACCATGGAGCAGGGGTGGGTCCTGTCTTCTGTCCACTCAGGGTCCCATGCCTGCCCTGGGACTCTATAGGTTTTGTGTTTTCCCCACCAGCCTGGGGTCTCTCTAGCATCCGTGACTCTCCCTTCAGACTCTGGTTCTCCAGGGCCTGCCTGTGCCTCCCCCATCAGACTGCAGATTCTTTGAGGACAGAGGTGGGTGAAGGACCCTCCCCCTTCCCCTTGCTCCAGCCCCTTGTGAGATGCCAGGAGCTCCATTTATAGTCCATCTCTTAGGAAAGGCTGAGATGGTGGGGGTGTCTGTTTGTGTGTGAGTATGTTTAGCTGTCTCCCTGACAGCTCCCACAGGGACCTGGATGCCATCCTCCCCTTCTCTCCCTCTCTTGAAACATTTTGGGGTCCAAGAGAAGAAAACTGGCAGCTGGAGGCAAGACTGGGGGTTTGGGCCCAGACTTGGGGAAGGGGGCAGACAAGGTGGTGATTGTCCTTAAAGATCTAGGAGGTTTGGGTCCCTGGAGTTCTGCTTGGCCTCTGTCTTAGAAGAGATACCTGCCCAGGACTGCAGGACTTCAGATCTAGGTAAAGGAGAAGTCTGGGAACAGGTGTCCTAGCTCTGATTTCTGGGGTGCCTCTGGACCTGGGCTTCCTCCTGCAAGCTTCCCAGCATCCCTCTGATCCAACAAGGCTCATAGGGAAAAGGTATTAGTCCCATTTTATAGTGTGGGAAATGGAACCTCACAGAAAAGGAAGGGCTAGACCTGTGCAAGTGGCAGGGCTGGGAGCTGGGATTCAAACTCAGATGCTTCTGACACAATGCCCTTTTTTTTTAGTTCTAGGGATGGAACTCCCTTCAGCCATGCTCCAGCCCCATTTTTGCTTGTATTTTGTTTTTGAAATAAGATCTTGCTGCTACCTTTGCCAGGGCTGGCCTCAAACTCACAATCCTCCTGTCTCTGCTTCCTAAGTAGTTGGGATTATAGGTGTTTACCATCATACTTGGCCCCTAAAGCCCTCTTGAACATACATGTGTGGAGACAGAAGGCCTTGAGAAGGTCCTCACTGCCCACAGAGCCAGAATAAATGTCATGCTGGACACTCCCCCAGCCCCCAATCCATCTCAGCCTTTCCTAAGAGGCTGGAACAGGAACCTGGGGAGGGCCCTTCTGGGAGGTGGGAGGGGCCCTCTGCTCTGTCCAGGAGGCAGTTTGGGGCTTTTGCTCTTCTCTCCCAATTCTGCCCTTCCTTCTCAGATAGGCAAGCTCCCCTCCCTCATGAAATGCCTCTGGTTGCTCTAGTCCACTCAAGGCCCTTCTAGAACCTGAAGCACTGACTGTCTGCCTACCCCTAACCCCTGGTAGGATGGCACGGTCTTCCTGTGTTCTGTCCCCTCTACCCTATCCAGTTCCCCTGCACAGGGTTCAACTGTGTCCCGATTAGTCTGGGGGTTCTTGAAGATGAGGCCTGTTTCCCTTTTCTCTGGATCCCATAGAGTGCTGGGTGGGGGAGCCTCCCAGTACAGGACCTCATGGGGCTAATGGTATGTTAACAGGACAGGGCAGGGCACAGGGCAGCAGGGGCCAGGGTGGTGACTGGTTCAAGAAGGGTCCTGCCTGAACCTGGGCCTGTGTTACTTCTCCTTGCTGAGGCGGTGCTGGCAGGGCTGTGGGAAGTCACCAGCACTGAGGTGAGATGGAAAGTGGTGGGGACAGGTGGGGGGCTGCCCACCAGGGTAACAGGAGCCAGTGGCTAAATGCAGACACCCTGTCATGGTGCTGAGGACCTGAGTCACTGCTCCTGGATGTCAGAGCTCTTTACCCACCCCCACCTACCATTCTCCTCCCCTTTCCCCTATCCCTGAGGCGTCATCCTCATAAATACTGAATCCTCTGGCTTCACTGGCCAGGCAGGATCTCAAAAGGTCATCGAGGTCATTCCCTGGAGTCCAGGCATGCCTCTTCCTTCAGATCACAGAATAGGAAGAGCTTCAAAGATGAAGTAAGCCCTTGAATCTAGGGAGCATCCCCCAAGCACAGCTCCCCAAGATTTGGATTTAGGGTCTTGGGAAGGACCAAGAATTTGCTCCCCTCATCTCCCCTCCTTCCTGACTGGAGGCCAGCATCCAGAAACCATTTATGGACCACCTCCTATGTGCTGGGCACTATTCTAGACCTGAGGGACTTGAGGGAAAGGCAGGCTGCTGCTCCCAGGCTCTCCTCATTGGACAGAAGAGGAATCAGTCTGCTGCCCTCTTCTCAGCTTCCTGGTGCTCACAGGATCCAGGAGTCGGAGTGAGGAAGTACAGGGTCAGCTGTGACACTGTAGTGGCAGTTGCCCAAAACCAGAGATGGGTTTGGGATGTCAACAGGGTGTCCAGATACCTGTGACTGTATACAGTCAACAGGTTGGTGTCGTTAAGGTGAGGGTGGGGCCCGGGTCCCTGGATCCATGCAGAGCAGCAAGCCCCCATCCCCAGTCCAATCAAGAGCAGCACACTCGTTACTATTTTGAATTGACTAGGGGTGGAGGCAGCACAGGGGCCCAGATTTTAACAAATCATGGGAGGGCCATTATGACTTTCAGATGGGTGGCTTTGTCTGGAGCAGGGGACAATTGCCCAAATCTAAAAGTGGTACTACTTTGTGCCCTGCTAAGGCCTCAAAGCCTGGGGAGCTTCCATTAGGAGAAGGTCAGCCTCTACTGTGTGACCTCAGATGAGTAGCTGCACCTCTCTGACCCTCCATTTATCATTTGTAAAATGGTGAAGTTAACTCGACTCACATGGGTGGGGGAAGAGGAACTGAGTGGCAGGCATAGAGTGCCTGGCGTGTGGCTGCACACACACATGCTTGCTCCCTCCCCATCTCTCGTGATACCCATGTTTCTATCCTCTCATGGGGTGAGGTAAGGTCTGTGACATCGACCCAGTCAGAGCCACAGCCCCTGGGATACAATGGTTTGAGAAGCAGTTTTCTGAGGCTGAAGGGAACAGAAACAAAATTCAAATTCAAGTTTCTCACCAGGTCCTGAAGGCCTCCAGCTGCCCCCATTCACTGCCCTTCATCCCCCCCCTTCCCTGAACAAGATGGGACAATCAAGTCAGCACCATGGAACACAATGTTCAGGTTTAGGTGTCAGGCAAACCAGAGCGGGGGTGTGGGGGAGAATCCAGGCTCTAGCCCTCAGTCTCTGAGATCTGGTTTGTTGTTGAGATGGGGACTAGATGTGCTGCTCAGGCTGATCTTGAACTCCTGGGCTCAAGCCTTCCTTCTGCCTCAGCCTTCAGAGTAGCTGGCACTTCAGGTGCATGCCACCATGCCAGCCAGACTCTGTGATGGCTAAGGAGAAGCCTCACTCCTCCCTAATGCTATTTCTTTCAAACAGGATTAACTGGCCACCTACTTGGGTTCTGGGAGTCCTCAGAGAAATTCTGGGCAGTGCTGAGCACCATGCCTGGCTCCCAGGGGTGGGGTGTGGGGTGCAGTCATAGCTGCCCCTACTGCCTCATAACCGTCTGCTTTCTCCTCTCTGTCCATCCCCTCCCCTCTCCTCCTCTCTTTCAGTGCCCTGGTGAGAATGCAGAGCTCTGAGCCTCAGCATTAGGTGTTCACTGGCCTGCTGTGAACACTGGCTTCCCCTCCCAGGCCTGGTCCTCAGGAGCCTGCAGTGTGGTTGGGTGCCACCTTCTGCCCAGCTCTGGTGTATGTATGCGGACATCCCTGCTCCCCCACCACACCCCTTGGCAGTTGTGCCCTGTATACTAACTGGCCTAGGGAGTTCTAGCTGGTTTGTCAAGGACAATCTTAATGTCCTCTGGTGGGGGAGGGTAGGCAGGCGCTGATTGGTGGAGTGTACACCTGTCCAGGTGCAACAGAGCTGTAAACAAAGAAGCTGTACTGGAGGAGGGCCAGTCCGGGCCTCTGCAGAGTGGACTGACAGGTGAGGGCTCCTGGGTGTGCAGCAGGGCATGGACTTGGATTTTCAAGGGATCTCCAGGCTAGGGCAGGCAGGGCACGAGGTGGGGAAGGGAAGGAGGCACAATCACTCTTAGGGGTCTCTTTCTGGAACTGGGATTTTCCTGCCTGCTGTGGCTGAGATGAGGGGCACAAAGTGCTCAGGGATGGGCATAGGGCATCAGAGCCATCCATGGGACCCAACAGAAAGAGTGCCACCCTGGGCAAAGTGATAGCTCTGAGCATAGAAGCAGCCAAGTGTACCAGAAGTGGGGAGTAAGGGGGCTCTGTGAGGTCTTAGGGTCCCAGCTATTCCCTGCCTGCTGCTGAAACAGACAATATAACTAGCACCCCACACCGCAAACCCACCCCCCTGCGGTGAGAGCCTCTGTGAAGAGGACCCATCAGGGCTGTATTCCTTTCTTTAACTTCCTGCTCACTCACATGCACATGCAGAAGCGCACACGGTCTTTCCTTTCTGTTTGGGAGGTAGAGTCTGGATGAGCCTGAGGGGATGGTGTAGGTGTTAGAACTACTCACCAAGGTCTGCCATCAGTTCCTTCATCAGAAAACCCATGGAGGAGCTGGTGGGGCTGCGTGAGGGCTCCTTGGGGAGGCCTGTGACTCTGCAGGAGCTGTGGGGCCCGTGTCCACGTGTCCGTCAAGGCATCCGATGTGAGAGTTGGACCCCTTCCTCCCCATGGAAGATCCCTGGCGACATCACCCCTGCCACGCACCCCCCATCCCCAAGCCCAAGAGCCCCCCTCCACCTGTCCTCTGGTCCCCCCTCCCTCCACCAATAAATACTCGAAGAGTCTCCTGGGTGCAAGGAGAGAAGGGGTTATCTGCCTCCCCTCTGCCTGTGGGTCAGGTGGGCCAGGCATCAGCTCTTGACCTTTGGGATTCACAGCACAAGGCCTGGTCACTGTGTCCACTCTCTGCCCACCTGTGCCAATGGAGAGTTGGAGGGCCAGCTGCTGGGAATCAGGTGCTACAGAAAGTATCTGGGGAGCCAAGGACATGGGATGTGTTTTTGAGTCTCAAGTTCATGGTTCACTTTCAGACCTGACTGTCCCTATAGACAGGGGACAGAGAAGGCAGAGACCTCAGAAAGAGGCAAAGTGCAGCCCAGCCCCCTCATGACCCTGGACTCCAGCCCTGTCCTCTCCACCACCACCCCGCCCAACCTCCCTGCCCAGACCCCAGTAGCCATCCACCCCACCCTAGCTGTGCCCCCAATGGCCTGCCAGGTGGCCTGGAGTGGCTGAAGCAGAAGCTGTTCCGTGTGGGCGAGGACTGGTACTTCCTGATGACCCTCGGGGTGCTCATGGCCCTCATCAGCTTCGCCATGAACTTTGCCATCAGCCGAGTGGTCAGAGGTAAGCCCTGCCCGGCATGCATGCCTGCCCTGGCCAAGGGGTTTCTGCATGCCCTTGAGATGCCTCATTGTCAGGACAGTGGGGTGGGGATAGGGCTCAGAGCCTGGAGCTCATCCTGGCTTCACTCCTGACTTGCTCTGTGACCCTGGACGGGCTGTGGCCTCTCTCCTGGCCTTGGCCACCTCATCTGCACAATGAGAAAGAGTGAGCTGGATGCTCCTAGCAGCCCTTCTCCCTCGGCACTGAGCCCCCTCTTCACAACACCCTGTTCCTTCCCTCCCTCCTGGCTCCCAGTTAAGTGACCCTTGACCACAGGCACAGAGCTTTCTTCCCATCCTTAGCAGGCTCCACCCTGAGGCTTCCCTGGAAGAGGGAGTGGGCAGGAAGGACCTGAGACCCTTCTCTGGACACTCAGCTGCCATAGTGAGGACCTACAGGGACTCCACACTCTGTGTCATTCAGTCCTCAATAAGTCTGCAGGACCCTGTGAAGAAGGCACCATCACCAGCCCATGGTGTAGATGGGGAAACTGAGGCTTCTCTGAGCCTCAATCACTTGCCCATAGTCAGTCAGGCAGGAAGTAGCCAAGCTGGGACAAGGGCCCAGGGTCCTATTCCAGTTTCCTCTTGGGGCTCTGCCACTCCCTGGGTGGTATTGGGCCTCCATTCCTGGTCAGTCAGTGGACATCACAGCATGTGCCCCCAAGGGCTGCAGAGGCTCTGGGTGGCTCCCTGATGGCTGGCCTTCCCCAGCACACAAGTGGCTATATGGGGAGCTCGGGGACAGCCACCTGCTCCGGTATCTTTCCTGGACCGTGTACCCGGTGGCCCTCCTGTCCTTCTCCTCGGGCTTCTCCCAGAGCATCACGCCCTTCTCTGGAGGTAAGTCCTTGGTTGTGACCTTGCCACTGGCCAGTGTATCTTTCACTGTAGTCCCCACTGTCACAAATCTTTTCAATGGCGTGGAGCTTCTGAGGGGACAGAGAGGAGCAGTAGCCCAATTTCACAGCCAGAGCAGCCAGCTGCAAAGAATAGTACCATTTCCCTGAAGTCCCACAGTTAGAGGGCAGAGGTGGACTCCTGGGTGACTGGGGCTCAGGAGCTTCCTCTGGTTCCTCTGGGCAGGGATGGAGGATTGGTGGCAGGGTGTTCTGCAGAGTGAGGTCAATGGCTAGTGCAGGGAGGGGCTGAAGGAGTGTCCAGCTCCCCCGCCTTCTATGCCACCTTCAGCTCTAGGCCAGTCAGGGTGCTCCTGGGTGCCCCCAGTGGTGGCCTGACATTCCACCCTGGGTCCTCTATCCCTGCCATCATGGTCTTCCAGTCTAAGTAGAAAGAACATAAACAACTCCCATCCCCACTCTGACCTTCAAGATTCTTCTGTGAACTGAGGTCAGGAGTTTTCCCCACATAGGGTATGGGGTTCTCCAGCAGGATAGAATGCTGCTGCCATTGAGCAGGCACTGTGTGCAGGGGCTGTGTGTGCAGAGACCTAATCTAGACTTTGTCCCTCTCCTGCCCACCTGGGCAAGGCTCTGGAGTCCCCGAGCTGAAGACCATCTTGGCAGGTGTGGTCTTGGAGGACTACCTGGACATCAGGAACTTTGGGGCCAAGGTGGTTGGCCTGTCCTGCACACTGGCCTCGGGCAGTACCATCTTCCTAGGCAAAGTGGTATGGGCAAGTGAGAGTTCCTGTCCTCCCCCTCTGCCTTCCCCATCCCCCACCACAGCCTGTCCTGCCAGGGGAGCTCAGTCTTAGAGCACAGCCAGCTCCCTAGGTGTGACCAAAGCCATCTGTGGATGGCCTCCGGGCATTATGAGGGTGTGAGTGAGGAAGCCATGCTGTCTCTGGGTCAGGCTTGTGGTTCCTGACTCCTGGGTCTCTAAGAGGAAGAGGTAGAAGGAGGAGGAGAAGGAGGTGGGGATAACGGGAAAGAGGATGAGGTTCAAGAGCCAGCCTCCCCAGGGCACAGGCCATCTGCCCTGCCCAACACCTCACCCTGCAGGGCCCCTTTGTTCACCTGAGTGCGATGATTGCTGCCTACCTGGGCCAGGTGCGCACCAGGACCATCGGGGAATCTGAGGTGAGGAGCTCAGGTAGGGATCCTCTTGGAGGAATGGGAGAGAGTGGAGGGAAATGAGGGAGGTGATTGGTTCTGAGCCCAGGACCCTGATCCCCCAGAACAAGAGGAAACAAAATGAAATGCTGGTGGCAGGGGCTGCTGTGGGCGTGGCTACAGTCTTTGCAGCCCCATTTAGCGGTGAGACACTCCTTGCCTCCCCTGTACTCTAGGGTTCCCCCATCCCAGCCCCTGGACCTGCTGGCTTGGCCAGACCAAACAGGTAGATCTGGAGCCCAGTGAAGAGGCCTAGAGACAGGGGCCCTCTGTAATTCTCACTGCAGTCTTTCCCTGGGTACAACCATCCCAGGGTACGATGGAGTGTCCACTCGCTCTTGGCCTCCCCTGGACACATATGGGTTTGGAAGCCAGTCTGCTGGGTGGCCCTGGCCCAACAAATTCATTTCTCTATGCCTGTTTTCCTCAACTGTAAAAAAAAGGGGACCATCCTCCACCCAAGGTGAGAGTGGAAACACACAGGCATGCCAGGGCTGCCCCTTGGCCCGGTCCCAGGTCAACAAGTCCTCCCTATCCAGTTCTCAGGCCCTGACTTCTTTTCCTTCAGCTCAGGACAAAGGTGATAGGAGGTCCTGGCTGCCCAGGCTGCAGGACCGCAGGTCAAAAGGGTCAGGGAGAGCCTGACACCCACGTTCTGAAAATGTGGGGTCAGGTCTTCCTGAGTTTAGTGTCCCCCCAGGCGTCCTATTCAGCATTGAGGTCATGTCCTCCCACTTCACCATATGGGATTACTGGAGGGGCTTCTTCGCTGCCACCTGTGGGGCTTTTGTGTTCCGCCTCCTGGCTGTGTTCAACAGTGAGCAAGGTGAGTGCCCAGTTGCCCACTCCCTGTCTCCTTTTTCCTCCTTTCCTTCCCTGACTCTGTCCCTTCTACTTTCCCCCTTCCACTTCTTCCCCTTTTTCTCATTCTTCTCTTTCTAGAATGACAGAGGGTCTAACCTGTGCTGGGCAGGGTGGACATCAGTAGAGGGCTGAGGCTGGCAGGGACTCAGGAGGTGAGGCCTGGCAAGCCATGGACACATGGGATGGGCCTTGCTCCACCTCCAGCCCTGCCTGTTATTCTGGGACCAGACTTAGGTGGGGAGGGATGTGACCTCAAACCCCACTCTTCTTCCCCAGAGACCATCACGTCCATCTACAAGACCAGCTTCCGTGTGGACGTGCCCTTTGACCTACCTGAGATCTTCTTCTTTGTGGTCCTAGGGTGAGTGGACCTTAGACCTGAGAACTCAGCTAGGGTCTCCTCCAGGCCCAACCTGGGGAACTCTGGAGTCACCTACCTTCGTCCCCAGGGTCATTTGTGGTGTCCTGAGTTGTGCTTACCTCTTCTGCCAGCGGACCTTCCTTGGCTTCGTCAAGAACAACTGGTTCACCTCCAAACTGCTGGCCACCAGGTGGGCCAGGGGCTGGGCTGTGCCCTCAGGTAGCCCCCTAAACCGAACTTATACAGAAAGCCCCACTCCATACCTGAACTCCTGTCCTCCCATGGAACCTCCAAACCCCTCTGCATTTACAGAACTCTATTCCTTCTCTAACACTCCACCAGTCTCCACATCCACTGACCCTCCTACTGCAACTCTCCCCTCTTAGGATCCAGACCCCTCACTAGATCCCTGCTTCCTCTCCTCCACAAGACTGCTCTGACCCCTGCCCTTGGCTTTCCTCACCCACCACCTCCCCCTGCCCTATGCCAGTGAGTAAGAGCTCCTCCCTTTCCTGGCCCGGTGTGGCCTGGCTTTGTCCTTTCCCCCAACTGCCTCTGTCCTAACCTTCTCCAGCTGAGACCTTTATCATCCCAGGTCTCCTGGGCCCACTCCACCTGTTTCTTCCCTGGAGGGGGGCTGGCCTGACACCTGCTCCTGATCTTTCCTCCTTGCTAGTTCTTTCCCTGTCAGTCCTGGCCTGCCAGGGCCTGGGTCTGTCAGTCCTGGACCTGGTCCTGGGTGAGGAGCCCCTGTCTCCCCACATTGTGGGGGAAGAATGGAACCTATATCCAGCTCCTCTCCCCCCACAGCAAGCCTGTGTACTCTGCCCTGGCAGCCCTGGTTCTGGCGACCATCACCTACCCTCCTGGCCTGGGCCGCTTCATGGCCTCTCGGGTAAGGAGCTGAGCTGGGGTGGGGGAGCAGGAAGCCCCCGTGTGTTGCCCCCTTTCTGGGTATTATTTCAGTTCCCCACTTCCCAAAGGAGAGGCCTGATATCATTTTGAGAAAGAGGAGACCATACATAACTCAGGGAGACCAGAGCCATCTTTGGGTTCTCCACTGGGACACGGCACAGTGGGAGTTGGGGCTCAGTTGGGTGGTGAGGTGGCTGGGGACATGCTGAACTGTCACTGCCCCTGTCCAGTTGTCCATGAAGGAGCATTTGGACTCGCTGTTTGACAACAACTCGTGGGCACTGATGTCCCGGAACTCGTCCCCACCCTGGCCAGCCGAGCTCGACCCCCAGAACCTGTGGTTTGAATGGTATCACCCGCAGTTCACCATCTTTGGAACGCTGGCCTTCTTTCTGGTTATGAAGGTGGGTCCCCAGGTGTGATCAGAGTCAAGCCAGCTCTGGGAGAGATGGGGCTGCCTACACGGCTGGAACCTGGAGCCTCCTCTTAAACCAGATCCCAGAAATGCCCACTGTGCTCCTGGGTAAATCACTTCAGCCCTCTGAGCCTAGGACCCGCCCCCCTCCTCCTGTGATGAGGCTTGCTATCTTGCACAGACTGATTTGGAACTTGTGATTCTCCTGCCTCACTTCCTCACTTCCGTGATTACACACAGAGCCATCACACCTGGCTTCCTTCTTTAAGATGGGCTAGAGGCTGTCATTACCTAAAAGCAGGCTGAGAGTGAAGAAAGGAACGAAGCTGGCGTGTGGCCTGCACACCTTGGGCACCTTCTCAGGCTGCAGTTCCCTCCCCTGGTTGAATTGTCCCTAATGCCAGACACTGCCGTGGGCATAGGCCTGGACACCCTTTTTTCTAGGAACCTCCTCACCCCTGTCTTGTGCCTCCCTTGCCCTCACCTTGCCCACTTGTCAGTAACTTCTGCCCTCTGGTGCCCCCCCACCCACTCCACAGTTCTGGATGCTGATTGTGGCCACCACCATCCCCATACCTGCTGGGTACTTCATGCCCTTATTCATCTATGGTGAGTCTGGGGTCCTGAGGCTCTGAGAGGTTCAGGAGCATTAAGCAGGGCCGTGGCTCCCTCGTTGCTGGCTCTTAGCAAGGTCTTTAGGGAAGAGGGCGCAGGGCTGGGTCAGCATAACTGCCCTCTTCACCCTGAGTCTGTGGCAGGGGCAGCCATCGGGCGCCTCTTGGGGGAGGCTCTCTCTTTCATCTTCCCTGAGGGCATCGTGGCTGGAGGTGTGGTCAACCCCATCATGCCTGGGGGGTATGCTCTGGCAGGTGAGTGGGGCTGGACCTGGTGGGTGGCCAGATTTATGGGGCTGGGCTACAGCTGGAGAATGGGTGGTTCAGGAGGACTCCCAGTGGTCACTGAGCTGCCCAATTTGTCCCCCACCCCCATTCGGGCCTGTCCCCTCCCTGAGCCCTGCCATCCCCTGGGTCTCCCTAACTCTCTTGGTTCCTGTCTGTCCTCCATGCACATCCCCTCCCAATCCCTCTCCTCTCACCATACCCAGGCTTTGGGCATTTCCTGCAGTGGCCATCAAGTGCCCTCTGGACGCAAACCCAGCCACGGTCACGCCTTTCCCTCCAGGTGAGCCTGGGCCCTGGCCTGAGCTGCCTTGCCCTGGTCTGCTTCCAGGGGCTGCGGCCTTCTCTGGGGCGGTGACCCACACCATCTCCACGGCACTGCTGGCCTTTGAGGTGACCGGCCAGATTGTACACGCACTGCCTGTGCTGATGGCGGTGCTGGTGGCCAATGCCATCACCCAGAGCTGCCAGCCCTCTTTCTATGATGGTACCATCATTGTCAAGAAACTGCCCTACCTGCCATGGATTCGGGGTCGCAAGATCGGGTGAGTGGGCCGCCTGGGCCTGGCTGATGGGGTGATGGTGTCCTGGGTGGACTGGGGTGGAAGGTCCCCCAAGAAATGCTACTGTGAATGACCTTGGACATGGATGTAGGAGGGGCCTCACAGTTGCCCACTGGTCTGATTTCCTCAGTGCCCATGCACTAGGTGAGGAACCTGGGGCCCAGGCAGGGACCAGGTCACATGGAGAGTGAGCACCACTCCCCCGAGGTCCCCGCTTGTCCCACTCCTGCTCTGCTGCCCTTGCTGGGTAGCTGGGAGCTGGTATGGAAATGGGCTTTGAGGTCCTCACTCATCCAGACAGCACCCCAGCAGTTTCTGTCCCCAGCAGGTGCTCAGAGGTTCTGAGGTCCTGGGTCCGAGTCCATCCTCAAATGCATGCGAGCTCCTGCTTGCTCCAAACCTGTTTCCTCATGTGCAAGATGGGTGTGGTTAATCCTGGACTTCTAAAACTTTAAAGTGTGAGGGGTGGGGTGGGGGTGGGGCTTTTTACCATGTAGCTTGCTTTTCAAGTAAATTCTCCAGGAAGGGCTGCTGGATGAAACAGACCAAACTGGAACTGGTCTGGGGACTCTGGGATCCCAGGGGCTGGAGGGTTTAAACTGGGACTACTAGTGACACAGTCTCCAGGTTCCTTCCCACCGTGGGGTCCTAGGACTTGCTTATTCTAGGACCCTCTCAGTCTCCATCTCCACACGATAGCCTCGAATCCTGTCCCAGCCAGTCTCCCCCGAGTCCCCCTGCCTCATCCTGGGGTGACATCCCCTAGCCCAAGACCTGTTGGGAGCCTCCCTCTGCCATAGCTCCCACCCTGTGACTGTGGGGCACTTCATGAACTCCACCATCACCACGCTGGCCAAGGACACCCCGCTGGAGCAGGTGGTCAAGGTCGTGACCTCCACTGATGTGGCCCAGTACCCCCTGGTGGAGAGCACAGGTGCCCAGCAGGAAGGGGGTGGTGGCTGCTAGGGAGGTGGGTTGGTGGGAAGTGGGGTGTCTTCCTCTAAGGCCTGAGTGTCAGGGCAGAAGGGGTAAGAGGAGAATTGCACCTGCACCTGAATCCATGCTCTGTGGCTTAGCCGCTGTGTGACCTTGGGCAAGTCACTTCACTGCTCTGAGCTTCAGTTTCTTCATGGGTGAAATGGACATGATAACCACTCCCTCTGGGGTGACTGACACCTTCAAATGAGAGATGAGAGGGTGCTTATTCACCCCATGAAATGAGAGGGTCCTTCTTCGCCCCATGAATGGCTGTTCCTTCTAGGAACAAAGCCATCTCAGTTTCTAACCTCCACCTAAAAATCAGGTAGCCTCAGGAAGGACTATTAGCCCGTCTGTGCCTCTGAGCCTCAGTTATCTCATCTGTAAATTGGGTGATGATGGCTCTTACTAACTATAGGCTGCCAAGATTCCTAGAAGCCATGAGCACATCCAGCACCATGGTGGGTGCTCAGCAAATGGGAGTTCCTTCTTCATAACACACCCTCCCTCTGCACCTGCTAGAGTCTCAGATCCTAGTGGGCACCGTGGGAAGAGCCCAGCTGGTGCAGGCCCTCCAGGCTGAGCCCGCTTGCTGGGCTGCAGGTCAACAGGTGGGTCCCTGGGAGGGTGTTTGGCTGGAATGCGGGAGGTCAGTAGGGCTGTGAGGAGACGGACCAGCTGATCTGTGGGAGAGGTAGTTTGAGAGTATACCCTGCAGTGGGGAGGCCGACCCAGGCCTCCAATGTCCTTCCTGCATTCTCAGCGCTGTCTCCAGGACATCTTGGCTGGGGGCTATCTCATGGAGCCAGTGACCCTGCAGCTGTCCCCAGAGACCTCCTTGCACCAGGTAGGGGAGAACTGGAGAAGGCAGGCGGACAGGGACACAGGGGTGCAGGGAGGAGCCCGATGGAGGAGCTCAGGTCCTCCCGAGCTGAGCTGAGGTACATCCACTCCCCACCCCTGGCAGCTCCTTCCTGGACACCTCTTACTGCCAGGCTCATGTCAGGGTCACGAGGAGAGACCAGGGAAGGGGGAGTGTGGGGAAACACCGACTCCAGGTGCGTCACAGGGAGCACACATGGATCAATGTTAGATAGATCTGCCACACTTCCTCCTGTGTTCTTCAGCAAATTATTTAATCACTAAGGAGACAGTCAGCACATGGGGTGGCATGGGACAGAAGCAGCCATGGCCCTCACCTCTCTATAGGGGGATATGTCTGTGATGCTGGGTAGTGGTGGCTAAAGGCCATCTAAAGCCTGGTCCAGCTGCTTGTGTGGACTCTGGCCACCTCTAGTGGTAATTCTGGACATCACAGGCTAGGTCCCTGGCTTCCCTGCCTTACCTTAAGGACAGGATGGGTGGGGGTAAGGAGGAGTTCCGACTTCAAGGTGGGTTACTGGGCTAGCAGGGTGCTTCCTGCCCCAGCATTTCGTACAAATCCTCCTGCAGACACACAACCTGTTTGAGCTGTTGAACCTTCAGTTGCTCTTCGTGACGTCGCGGGGCAGAGCTGTGGGCTTTGTGTCCTGGGTGGAGGTACCAGGGTCTTTGAGGGTGGGGTAAAACAGAGGAGGTGGGGAGCACCAACATCCTCTCATTCAAAGCTTTGGGAGCTTCATAAGACTCCAACGAGCTCTGCTTCTGGCCGAGAATGGCCACTGGGCCTGGAAACCTTTTCTGTGTTCAGTGACCTCAGCCATGCAATGGGGAGGCACCGGCTCCAACATCACCCCAGAATCCACCTTAGGAGAGCTGCTAGTGCCATAGCCCACACTTGCCACCTCCTTTAATCCTCCCCGCTCCCCGACCCCTTGTTCTCTATTGCAGCTGGAGAAGGCAATTTCCACCCTGACCGATCCACCGGCCTCAAAGTGAGCCAGGCTGGTCAGCCGGAGCAGGGCACCCAGATGCCTGGTGCCTGAGATTGGGCAGAAACCCCACCTCTCTTCCCATCACTACCCAGTCCCCTCCAGCAGCTCAACTCCATGGCAGAGCAGGCAAGTCTCTAGCCTGGGAGAGGTTCCACTACGGGAGATGACAGCTCCTAGCTGGAAGGACAAATCCCACCGTGGATGGAGCAGAGTGTGAGATGGCAGAGAACTCATGGGGGGTTGGTGCTCAGTGAGTGATGAGCAATTCATGGTGAAGACTGGTGTGCACCATCACCAAGGGTGGCCCTTGTGCCTTCCTGTGGTTGTCTGTTCTCAACCAAAAGCCCCTGAGGAAAATAAAGCTGACGCCCAGAGCTGCTGTTCACCCTGCTCTCTTCTGAGCTGTGCATTTGGTCCCCTGGCTTTTCACCCATGAGTTCTTGGATTGCTGGTGTCCACATGGGCATTGCAGGCCTGGGCCCCTTGTTTCCTCCTCAGTCCCCATTCCTTGGCAGGGAGTTGTGAGGGAAAGAGGGTCCCCATCAGGCCTTCTGATGCGTGTCCTCATGTGTAACAGCACCCTGTGGCACAGTTCCTGCCACCTAGCCCTATTCGCCTTGGTTGATACACAGTTGATAAGGTGGGGTCCCTCAGTTGTCTACTTAGGGATTCCACAGGCCCTGGACATCCTCCATGCACCCTCCATGGGGACATTGGGGTAGAAGCCCTCCCTCACCCTTCCAGATACCTTCCTCATTGTGATCAGGTCAAGTTCGTTCAGGGTTAATCGACCACTTTAATGTCACCAGAGAAATTTGAGGGGGATGGCAGGGATACAAGGAGAGGGAGCAGGCTTCCTGGGGTGGGGAGCAGAGGGTCACAAAGGAGGCAGGTGAGAGGGTGTGTGACGGACAGTCCCTCCAGAGACTGAAGAGGGTTGAGGAGTGGCTCTCAGCTACCCAAAGATGTGGCACCACTTTCCATAGGGCAGGTTCACAAGGGAAGTGAGTTGGGGTTAAGCCCAGACTCAAGGCTGAGTTCCCAGACCCCACTCTAAGTGGTTCTCCAGATCCTTCCATGGGTGTCTGCCTGGGGACATGGCTGTCAATTCCCTTGGGACCAACTGTGGTATCTGCTGAGAGTCCTTGAGCTTGCTAAGGGCAGAAACCCTGGAGGGGAAGGTGCCCACCTGAGACGAGTACAGAGAGAATGGTGATTATGGCTCTCAGCGCTGGTGGCCAGTCCACAGAGGCACAGAGTGGTCCACAGGACAGCTGACCCTATCCTTGCTGCACCCCACTCCATGCCTGGCCCGAGGAGTCAAGAGATGCTTAGCAGTGGACTCCAGGGTCCTATTATGCATGAGCTCCACCAGCCCAAGTGGTGATATGAGCAGGTGCTGGCCCGGCCCAGCCCAGCCTCAGTTATAGAACACCTCATCCTCCTCCTCTGAGAGCGAGCCACTGTCCACCGAGGGCAGGGAGCCTTGTAGGTGCACCCCACCTTCAGATCCAGGACCCCCTGGCAGCCGTCGTCGATGCTGCTGTGCAGGGCTGGGTGGTTGGGGATCAGCAGCTGTGATGGGGGGTTCCTCAGGTGAGGGCCAGCCGTCAGGGGAGAGGCCAGGGGAGGAGAAGGCCAAGAGACTGTCGTCCTGCGAGGGGCCACTCAGAAGGCTGTCCTGAAGGTAGATGCTCTCCAGGTCTGGAAAAGCCAAACAGGGGTGTGGGGGAAGGAAGGAGTCCTGGAGCTTGCTTCTCACTCTCCCTAGTGTGGGAGGCAGGGCAAGTGACAGAAGACCTTCCTCCAGGTCCTGCTATGCCACTGCTGAGCTGAGTGACCCAGGGCAAATCCTTGAACCTCTGAGTCTAGTTTCCTCCCTGTGCAGGGAGCAAGTAGTTAAGAGCAGGTTCTGAAGCACTTTTGTGCTCTAAGAATTGAATCAACCTTTGCTCCTCTCAGTCCTCTGTCCCCTCCCCTCCTGATCAGTGGGAGCATCAATCAAGTGAGGAAATATAATACAGGTTTCCCCAGGACCTAGGCTCATGAAGCCTCCACAGTAACTTAGGGTTCTAAAAAGTGTTTGGTTGCACCTGGTGGTGAGTTCCAGGCCCTGGCTCTGACACCTCTAGCTGTGAATCAGGAGTGAGTTTCTGAACCTCTTAGTGTTTCCGTTTCCTGATGTGTAAAATGAGGACAACAGGACTTGCTTCCTGAGGATGTCATGAGGATTCAGGGAAATGATACACACTTGCAATGCCAGAGAACCTTGAGAAGGGCAGAAAGAGTACAAGCAAGGGAAATGGGCTCCCTGGGATGGGGAGCAGGGGGTCTCAAAGGAAGCAGGTGGAAGGGTAAGGGACAGACAGACCCTCTAGGGACTGAAGAAGGCTGAAGAGTGGCTCTGATGTCTAGAAGCAGTCAGTTCATGTCATTCATGATTACTGACTCCTGCCCAGAGCAACAGACAGGGCAAGGTCCACCAACCCCATTTCACAGAAGAAACTGAGGCTGGGAAGGCAGGGGCTGGCCTGAGTTGCACCACACTGCATCTGGTGCACAGCAGGCACCCAGCCTCAGCTCCACTCCACCCACCCCTCCCTATTGTCCCCTGGCTGTACCTGCAGCTGGAGGGCGTCCAGGGTGCTGTTTTCAAGGTGCAGCTCTTCATCATCCAGTGAGGACCAGGCGCTCAGAGTGGCTTCCGTGATAGCAAACTGCTCTGCAACCCCTGGGGGACAGTGAAACCTGGTTCAGTGGGGACCCAGGCAAAGTAGCGGGGAGGGTCTCCATGCCAAGCGGGCCTCTCTGAGGGCCCATGTGTGATCAAGGAACCCATGAAATACTCTTTCCATCCCAGGCCATTGTTTTCCCCGCCTAGACGATGCCTATGGTGTGATCTGGTTTCAAGGACCCAGCTTCACCCCTGCAGAGCCCGGCCTGTGCCCTCCCTGCCCCTACTGACCTGCAGCAAAGCGAGCCTCACACAGCTCATCCGGGAGGCAGCAGTAATGCTCGTCCTCGGCAGGGGACAGCTCCCAGCCTGACCGCTGGGCACTCCAGCCCTTCCACTCGATGAGGTGGGCCACTCGGCCACGGGCCATGGCCGTGGGCTTTGTGATGTGGTCCTTGATGCTCTGCACCACCCCTGGGGGCACGGAGGACTATGGTGACTGTCCCAGCACAAAGCCCAGATGAGCGCTCCCCCTGGGACCCTCAGACCCCCACACCTCAGCCCACCCGATGGTCAGTACCCCACACCCACATAACCACGCAATAGCCCCAAGGACTGAATACCATGTACCCCCTTTGCCACCCTCTACACAGCATCCTGCACCTGTCCATGCCCTCCCCCCACAATGCCTCACCTCGCTGTACCCATGCCCTGCCCTGGGCACTTCCCAAGTTTTATGGCCCCACTTCCCTTAGAGGTCCCACCCGCTCACGTGCCCACTCTCTCCAATGTCCCACTCCCAGGAACATTCCTGCCCACCGATGCTTCCCCTTACTTCCTTTCAAGTTTGGATGCTGTCCTTAAAGCAATGCGGAGCCACAGCAGGATAAGAAGCAAGACAGTGACAGGCTAGACCTGCTGTTTAGGAAGAGATCCCAATTGGAGGATTAGGGGTCCTCCATTAGGGGCAATTCAGGGACACAGGAAGAGACAGGGCAAGAGCTGGACAGAAGAAGAGGAAGTGGTAGAGGTTCTTAGGAGTTGACCATCATCTTAGGAGATGATGGAGAGGGGTTGGCAGGAATGGTTCAGCCTCTCCATTAACCAAAGCTGAGAACACAGATCTGGGCATCCCTGGTGCCCCTAGCTACCAAGGCCCATGGCCAGGAGGAATGGCAATACTAAAGAAAGATAAGGTGTCCACAAGGAAAGAGAGCCAGGGAACATGGCAGGGAGGGAGGTAAGGGAGAAAGGAGCAGCTACACACCCAAGTTGGGGTGTTGGCAATCAGAGGATTTTTGGAGGAGGTGATGTTTCACAGGACCTCGGAGTTGGAGAGGTGACAGGCAGCACAGGCCAATGTGGGGAGGGAGGCAGGTGGGCCCTCTGGGAATATGGAGGGATTTGGTGCAATGGGGCCTGAGGTGGGTGGGGCAAAGCTGTGAGAAGAAGTTGATGAGCTGGGGTGGCCCAGAAGGCCAGACTTTGGGCCACCGGAGCACAGGCACACAGTGGCTTATGTGCTAATCCCCCAGGGACCTCTGATATGCTGTTCTGCCCCCATCTGCACCTTCTCTAGGGAACTGCCCCAGCTTTGGGCACTACCTCACCAGAGATGTCCTCGAACTGGCAGAGTCCTCCCAAGAGCAGCTGAAGACTGAACAACAGGGGAATGTCAAGTCCAGCTACCTGACCTCAAAGTGTCATTGATTCCTCAGGCCACTGCCCACTGCAGAGCCTTCACTGGTTGGTACTAGGAGACTGTCCTACAACCGTGTCTTGGCTGAACAGCATCCCTAGCCCCACTCTGCTTCTCTAGCTCCCTGGGGGACCCTCAAGAGAGCAATCCCTCCATGCACAGTTCCCACCTCAGGCTCTGCTTCTAGACAACAGGTTACAAGGTGACGTGGGTGGCAGAGAGGCAGGGAAACCATGCAGACAGACATCCAAAAATTCCCACCATTCTCTCAGAGTTTAAGAACCCAGCAATTTAACCGCTTGGAGTAAGAACTGGAGACACCAGTCACTCCAGAGCCCAGCTCAGAGTGTGACATTTAGATAGGCAGAATCCAACAGGACTAACATCCCCTGGTCACAGGTCACCTTTGCCTTCCCACACCAGGGTCCAGGGGTGGAGCAGGCAACTCTGAGAGCAAGAGAGGGTCTGCTGGAACCTACCCACAAGGGATGCGGTGGCCAGGGCTGCTACGCTGTAATTGCTGGAACAGGCTCTGGAGTCAGACAGGTAGCCGTTGGTGGTCTGGAAGCACCTCTGTAGGAAGGGGACAGAGTGAGCAGGAGGGGCAGACAGCCAGAGGCCATCCCCCTACGTGACCATCGCTAGCATCCAGCTCACCCCAGCCCCTTGGGTGGTAGGCAGGGAAGGACAAGTGAAGCCACTCCCACAGGGCCATCCCTTCCCTCAGGGCTGACAGGACTGTGAGCCTGAGCTGGGCACGGTAAAAGGAGCAACAATGGTATCAGTTGGGCTGGCTGGAATGGGGACAGGAAGGGCACTGACCTGCCAAGGATCCCAACAGAAATCCATCTGTTTGTCCTAAAGCAAGAGGAGAAAAGGAATCAGGCAAGGGCTGGGCTCACTGTGTCCACATGACTGAGTCCTGGAGGCCCTTCTGGTACTCCCAGAGGTCAGGGTCTGCCCACTCCTCAGTCACGCCTTTGTCCCTTGGCATGCAGAAAAGAAGGAGGGGCACGGTGGCACAGGAGAGAGATCACACCAGGCTCGAGTACATCTGCACTATTTCCTAGTGACTTAACATCTCAGAACACCAGCTTCTTCCTCTGGAGAACGGTGATGTGATAACGCCACTAACCTCACAGGTGGAGGTGAAGTGGAAGTGACACAACTCGGGCAGAGTGCCTCGCACAGCATTCAACACATGGTATATGCCTTTAAAAGCAATTATGTCAACTGGTAGGTTCAAGCCATAATCCCTGGAAAAGGGTACACATTATTTACCAGGACTAGCCCTAGCACCATCTTCTTAATCTACCTGGACTGAACATTCTATTCCTTCCATTCTCCAGAGGGTGGGGCCAGCTGCTAAGGGGTCAGGGGCTGTGGCAGAACCTGCTGTGTGTAAGGCTGAGTTAGTCTGAGTGGGAAGACCTTCAGGGAGGGTTGTGTTTTCTAGTCAAGCCTGGCGGGTCCCTAGAATTCCAGTCTGTTAGAGAGCTCATCCAGCTAAACACCAAACCTTAGGGGCCCTCTCAGGAGGTACAGCTGAGTTTGGTAGGGGGAAAAGGAGCTCAGAATGGTTTCTGTTCCTTGTGGGTAGCTGTAGGGACATGCCAGGACCCAAGGGACAGGTGGGACAAGGGATGATGAGGGACTAGTTACCTTGCCAGTGACATTGTCTGGAGCAAAGGTTGGTGGGTGGCTGGAGGGTAGATGTGGGTTCAGGAGGTCCGTGCCCTGGGGCATAGGACAGTCCTTGTGGGCACTTGTGAGCAGATCTAGAAATAAGACAATGAGAGAAACTTAGAAAAGCCCAGCCCTAGGCAGAGAATAAGGCAGGAGAAAGAAAGAGTATCCAAGTAGGAAAGGGGGAGGACAAATGATCTTTGTTTGTAGATGACTTGATTTTATATATTAGAAAAGACTATACCAAAAAACTGTCGGACTGATAAACAAATTCAGGAGACAAAAGTCAATTTCCAAAAATCCATGGCTTTATATCCAGGTGCAATAGTACACATCTATAGTCCCAGCTACTCAGGAAGGTGAGATGGGAGGATTACCTGAGCCCAAGACTTACGACCAGCTTGGGCAACATAGAGAGATCACATCTCAAAAACAAAGGTTGGGGAGGGGGTGGCTCAGTGGTAAAGCACATGTCTCGTACACCTGAAGCCTTGGGTTCAGTCCCCAGCACCAAAAATATAAAAATAGTCTTTCATATATCAATAACAAACTTACTGAGAGAGAAACCACATTTACATTTGCTGCAGAAAATAACAAATAAAATACCTGGGACTAAATTTAACCAAGAAAATGAATGATCTCTACAATGGAAATTATAAAGTACCAAAGAAAGAAGTTGGAGAGGACATAAAAAAATGGAAAGATATCCCATGTTCATGGACTAGAAAAAGTAGTACTGTTGAAATATCCATACTACCCAAAGCAAGCTACAGATTCAATTTCTATCAAAATACCAGTGTGGGGTGGGGAATACTCCTAAAATTTGGATGGAACCACAAAAGACCCCACAGAGCGAAAGTAGTCCTGGGAAGGAAGAAGAAAGCTGGAAGCATTACAATACCTGGCTTCAAGCCACCCCACAAAGCTGTAGTAACATCATGGCATGACAGGAGCATCAACACAGACACATAGACCAGTGGAAGAGAACAGAGAGCCCAGAAGTGAATTCGCCATCTAAGGCCACTGAGTCTTGACAAACACCACGAGACTGACATTAGAGAAAGGAAAGTCCCATCAATAAATGGTGCTGGGAATCTGGATAGTCACATGCAGAAGAACGAAAGCAGACCCCTATGTTCCACCATGTAAAGACCCAACTCAAAATGGATCAAAGACCCAAAACCACAAAGCTACTAGAAGGAAACAAGGAAAATGCTTCAGGCCATTGCACCGGGCAATGACTTTTTTGGATATGAAACTCAAAAGTCCAGGTAAAAAGAAAAACGACAAAGGGGATTACATTGAACTAGAAAGCTGCTGCCAGCCAAGGACACAATCAACTTACAGAATGGGAGGAAATATTTGCAAAGTCCTCAGCAGACAAGAGATTCATATCTAGAACACATGAGAGCTGAAACAATGCAACAGAAAAATGGGCAAATGGACAAATGGCCTGAAGAGGCCTCTTGCTGCCTCTCAGGGATTCTCCTGCATCCTCTGTCCTCTCAGTGGCTTCATCCAGTGCCCCTGCACCATCAGGCCATCACGCAAGCATCCTGCCCCTTACACACCTCCTCCTGACCACTGCTCCCCTCCAGCTACCTGCCCCTTCTTCTGCCCCTTCACTGCAATTTTGGAAAGGGCTGTGTACCACCCCTACTTCCTCACTTCCCATTTTCTCCTCCACCCAGGCCACATGGATTTTCATTTGTCAACTGGCTAAGTCCAGTGGTGACTTCTCTAGACTCATCTTCCTTCTGGGAGCTCCAGCAGCACAGGCTTGTTACTCCCCCACCCCCATCCTCCTGAGCCATGCTCCCCTTTCCTCCTCATTCTCACTGGCTGCTCTTGTCCTACCCGCTGGCCTTCCATGCCTCCATCCTGGCCTTCTCCATCCTCTCCCTCCCCAGAATTTCTGTCCAGGTTTTCTGATGCCCACATCCAGCCCCAGCCCGAACTCCCAACTGAACTTCCAATGCTTTCACTGATACCTAGTAGGCATCTCAAGGCCACCTGCCCAGGTTAAAGGAACTCCCAGACCTGGGTTCATCTTCCCTTCTTCCCTTTCCCTGGTTTAGAAACAAGGTGACTGCCCACCCAGCTGTACTGACTGAACTCTAGGAGTCTCTCAGAGCCTTGCCTCCTCTGTGCTCCTCAATGCCATCCAAGTAACAGGCTGGTCCTCTGGCTCGCCCTCCTGCGGAATTCCAGATTCATCCATCCCCACCCTCACCATGGCTCCTGGGGTGCAGGCCACCGTCCTCACATACTAGGACAGCACCAGCCCAGGGCTCCTCCCAGCAGAACAGGCCTTTATCTCCCAGGCCAGTGGTGTCGCTGGGGTTGGGATAGAGGGGACGCTCTACCTGGTGCCTCTGGATCCCTTCCTCCTCGTTTCATGCCCCTCCATCTGCTTTACTTCCAACGGGCAGCATATTTGACTTCTAGGAGGACTGCCCTTGGACTGCTGGAGCCCAAAACACAACCATGCAGCACACAAGGATGGGAATATGCTTTGAGGGGATTCTGAGGTCCTGTAAGCATCACAGAGGGATGGCGGGGCCTGCTACCCACCTAAGCTATGGGCAGAGCCTGTCACTCCCAGGCTACATCTGCACAGCATGTCACTGTACTGGATGCTGTAGGCAACTGTAACTTGAGGACAGGTGTCTGTGCATCTAAACTGAAAAGGCACAGTAAAGATGCGGTATGACAGGGAAAGTGGACGCCTGTGTAGGGCACTTAGGAGAACGGAACTCTTAGGACTGGAGGTTGCTCTGGTGAGTCCTTGAATGGAGAGTTAGTGTGAGGGCTGGGACACGACTGTGCAGCAATGAGGACTTCACACACACTGCACTCAGGCTACGCTGAATTTAATTTAAAATGTTTTTCTTCCTTAATAATAAATTAACCTTATGTGGCTTTCTATAACTTTTTTTTTTTCAGATGGGATGTCACTAAGTTGTCCAGGCTGGCCTTGAACTCCTGAACTGAAGTGATCTTCTTGACTTAGGTGGGAATAAAGGCATGTGTCATCATGCCTACTACAAAAGTCTTTTTTACTTTTATTTTTTCATTTACTTTTGGTGGTACTGGGGTTTGAACTCAGGGCCTCATGCTTGCTAGGCAGGGGCTCTACCACTTGAGCCACTCTGCCAGTCCTGCTTTGTGTTGGGTATTTTCAAGCCAGAGCTCAGATAAATAAAAATGACTTGGCCCTTTCTCTCCATCCCTCATACTGGACGTCAACACATTAGAGGACAAAGGGTCCCCAAGAGGAAGGGGGTCAAGAGCTAAGAGCAGAGTGTGACCTTCAAGTGCGGCCACCCGTGGCTGGAGGGAGAAGGTGACCGCTTATCTGGATGAGAGATGAACATTTCAGCCAAACTGTGCAGGATTTAGTACGCACAAGAGACTAGAGGGCTCTGGGACCTGCCCAAGGCTGCATGGTGTGGGGGAACAGGGCAGAGAGGTCAGAGCCAGGCCATGTGGGGCAGAGACTGTAGAAAAGGAAGGCAGGGTCATGGTGAGCCTCCCTCCCCGCAATAGCCCAGGCAGAAGGAGGTCAGGGCAGAGAGGACAGCACGACCCTGGGTGCTGAGTCTTGTGCCTGTACACTGCAGTGCCCAGCACATCCTGCTCTTTGTCCTGTCCTCACTGTGTGACCCTGAGCCAGTCTCACCCTTCTCTGGGCTCTAGTGTCCATCTCTACAAGGGTAGTGTTCAATGGGCGGGCAAAGTACATTCTTCAGTGGGCCATGCAAACCACTGACCACGTCTACTTTTTAAAAAAGCAAAATCAGCGCCAGTGGCTCAACCCTGTAATCCTAACTACTTGGGAGTCTGAAATTGGGAAGATCACGGTTGGAGGCCAGCCCAAGCAAATAGTTTGAGAGACTCCCATCTCCAAAAATAGCCAGAAGAAAATAGACTGGAGTCATGGCTCAGGTAGTAGAGTGCTTGCTTTGCAAGTGTGAAGTTCAAACCCCAGTCCCACCAAAAAAAAAAAAGAAAAGAAAGAAAAAGAAAAGTAGATAAAATAGTGCTCATTGGAGCCCACGGCAGAGTGAGGTTGTCTAGTTCGTGAAGCTTCGCAAAGCTTCTGTCTAAACTACATGGGTACGTGTATGAGCTCACATGAGTGTGCACACATATGGCAAGAATTTTCCGGGTGTGCACCCTGGGTCATTTGTTCCTGTGGGTCCAGTTGATAAAGTTTGAAAGCTGTGACACAAGTGATAATACATGCTTGTAATCTCAGTGCTGGGAAGGCTGAGGCAAGAGGATTGAAAGTTCCAGGCCAGGCTGGGCTACAAAATGAGACCCTGACTCAAAAACAAAAACAAACAACAAAACAAAGCCACTGTTAAGCTTTTGAAAATTCTAAACAGTGTGCAAAACCGGGGTCTGCCAAGCTGCAGACAGGGTGGCACTGGCTCCAGGCTGTCCCTGAGAACTTTGAGAGGGGTTGGGCTATTTCTAGGGTTCCTGCCCTTCCATGAAGCCACCCAGCAGGGAGCAAGGTGGACATGCAGAGGAGTGAACACTGAGCAGGTGGCAGGTGATACCAAGGCTCAATGGAGAATAGCTTGAACAAGGTTATTCCCTGAGGTGGTGGTGGGCTTGGGGCCTCCTGGCTCCCAGCCATCCCCAGCTGCCTGCTCCCCATTCCAGTTGGAGTGCAGGTGCCTCAGCCAAAGTCGCCTTCTCCCCCTGAGGACTTCAGCCCCTTGATGTCACAGGCTGGTTGCCATGGAGATGTCAGGTAATGAAGCAACCCAGGGTGAAATCACAGGCTGCTCTTAGCCCAGCTGAGACTAAGCCACGTCACTGCCACTGGCAACTGGAAAAACACAGATTTTTGTGTGGGGTGTGGGGTGGGGGCTGGGGGCAAGCTTAGGGGAGCGCCGGTCCCTACTTGAGGGGTGGATCCCTCTCCCAAGGGAACTGTGGGGGATGCCCCCTTTCTTTCCCAGTCACACCCTACTCTGTTGACCTCAAGGTCTGAGGCCTCTTCTTGGACCTGCTCCCTTCCCCCACCTCTGCTGGCCACAGTAGTTGACAGGTCTCTGGTTGCCACGGCAACCTGGAG